AGGGAAACCACCTTTTGAAGCAGCAACATACCAGGAAACCTACAGAGCTATTTCCAGGGTATGTGTCAACATTTATTTGTATTAACTCAACCATGTTGCCTTTCACTTCTGTTGTCTTATTGAAGCTTAATGGCATTTTGAAGAAGGACATGTATTCTAACTAGAACTGTAGCAAGACAGGAATAGGCATAAAACTAGATCACTAAAACTGTCTTCAGTCATTCAGTAGAATGACTGAGATCTTAAGATACCTTGTCTTGCTTCCTTGATTATACCCTGTTTCCACCTGCATCTGAACTTCAACCTCTTTCATAAAGCAACTGATGCTTTCCTTTTCCAATTTATGAAATGAATACAGAACAGTCAGTGTTACTAAAAATACATAAGCTCAGTTTTTCCTGTTGCATACCCTAGAAGGGTTGGGGCAAACTAATTTTGTTTCAAGTGCATTAAAAATACAGTAGCTTAACTTTTACAAGCGATGAGAACCTCGTTTATTCACAATTATAATGATGTGACTTGATCTCATCTCCACTGGTGTAAGGTGCATACTCCCCAAGGCTGACACAGCTTCTGCTCCTAGAGGTATCTTGGAGGGTAGAGTCTTTTGTCTCTCTGGTTTGGTTATTGCCAAAGAACTTTTGTGTCATATTTACTGTCCTTCCTTTTCCTTAGGTGGAATTCAAGTTTCCTCCATTTGTAACAGAAGGTGCAAGGGATTTAATTTCCAAGCTCCTGAAGCATAACCCATTCTATCGACTGCCCTTGAAGGACGTACTGCTTCATCCCTGGATTACAGCAAACTCTACAAAGATGCCTGAGAGCAGAAAAAGTGATGTTGCTGCCCCATCCAGAACATAGTCTTAGCAGGGGAAACCTCATGTGATCAACAAGAGGAATCTTGTACTGTGACTACTGTAATGCTTACAATAGGAGAAGCAGGTCATGGAATCTAATGGCAATAGGAATGCAAATCTCCATGTTTGCTGTTGTCTTAAACTCTAATTACAATGTAAATTTTAGCTGACTTTTAGCTGGAGGTTGTGGAATACTTAATATACTTGAAATCCAGTTACACATGGGCCGGGTTTGTTGGTGTAAGTATTAAGCTGTTCAAGGCTCTTATGATGTGGTCTGTCCTGGTAATGGTTCATTGTTCCAACAGCAACAGGAAGCTGTGGTTCTAGCTTATTGAACAGTGCAATATCCCAGAGATACCTGCCTCCTAACTTGGCTGCTAAGGGTATCATCCTACCTGTGGTGTTATCTGAAACTGAGCGAGGTGAATGCATTTCTAAGTGTCCTAAAAATGATGTGTGCATTATTTTTGTCTTTTTGTCTTAAATATGAGCACTCAACTTTAAAAATAAAGACTTGTTACTTACTGCTACCAGCATGGTAAGGTTCCTTAAGGCATTATTACTTCCACTGGCTGCTTCTAACCACTTGTCTTTACCATCAGCACAGCTTGACTCCTCGTTTGTGACCACTAAGTAAGTTTACTTCTCACCTCTGTCAAAATGGAAGCTGTTATAAAGTTCTTGCTCAAAGTGATGGTACCAGAAAGTAGGTGTGGACACTTCTTGTTCCATAATCATAACACAAGATTACAAGGTAAGTACTAAATGTGCTGTTGCTTACCTTGTGGGTTTTCTGCAACTACTGAAACTCAGGCATTCTTCCTTTTTTTTAATGTAGTTATTCAAAGACAACATGGTCTGAAAGCACTTCTAAGAGAGAGGTCTGGAAAGTATTGTTTTCAAACAGGATATGTATTAGGAACTAATCTTAAAAAGCACAGTTGTAAGACACTGTAAGGCCACTTACCACCAAAACATAAAAGGCAACTATTTTCCAGTAAAACACTTCAAGCAAACTAAGACAAAGCAATTTATTGTATTTTCATTATAGGACCTTAAAGTCATCTTCACTATTTTACAAACCATTTAAAAAAAGTTATGCTTTTACATGTAAGGATTCTAGTCTAGAATTTAAAATATATTCTCAAATTAAAATACACTTTGCAAAAATCTTCATCTAAACAAACTGCCAATACTTCATACAACAGTATTTATCTTAATAGGTAATTGAATTCTGGTTATAATTTAAACGAAGCTTTGTTTCTTTATTGCAAGAAAAGTTCTAGCTAGTGCTGGTGACCTAAATTTTTAGGTGTATTTGCTTTAAATGATTCCTGCTTTACAGAAATATATTTTGTTTTAAAAAAAGCTTGAATATTCCTTTTCTATCAACTTCAGGCCAAAACATACATATCAGAAATTACTGATTAAACAAAGAAAACAAGTATGTCTTGTGATTATCCTGGAATGCTTTTGTTATCCTTGGTAACAGAATATAGCCCATAACTGATAACAGAGGCCATGTAGGAGAAAGATACAGAAAGGCTTCTCTGAAGAGGGGAAAAAATAAGCCCAAGTTAAATTTACTTTTAAGAAATCAGATTCTAGCTGTTCTAGAATGTAGTAGATTACAGAAAACTACAATGTTGGTTGCATGTTGTGATACCATGGTAATCCTTCAACTGCTATGTAGATGGTGCACTTTTTACCTATCAAACATTCAACAACTAGCTTCCGTACAAAAATGGGTATAATCACATGGATTGGTCCAGAGTAAAGACAGCTTCATTGAGCTGATCTGAAACTTATGCTTTAATAAGAACTTTCTCTGATTGAAGCAAGCTGAAGCTAGTATCCTAGAGAAGCTGCCAGCTTCAGCAGCCATGCTACAGAGCAGGCATGGAAAAGGAAAAATTCAGTCCATTTTCTTTAAGCAGCTAATCAAAATGAATTTGCTGGCCCTTCCTCCTGCACACATGGGTATACAAAGCAGCAGAGAACTGACTCCATGGGTAACAAGCCAAACAGCTGTGCATGACACAAGCTGTGTTAGTGACATAGCTTACAGCTCCCATGGAAGCAGGCCACACTTCAAGGCTGATTCTCAGCCATTCTCAAGGCTGGTATTTTGAGGAGTGTTTAACTTTTGTATTATACATCAAACCTAATGTGTACCTGCTCACTGCTGTACTTCCTCTTCAGACACTAAACCCTCATCTGGGCTAATGCACAGCACCGCTGGGACCAAGATCTTGGCAAAGGGTTCTTTGTTTTCATGGGTTACTCTTCTTAAATCAGCTTGCTTTCATAGGGCAGAGGAAGTAAACTACACCTCTTCCAGTTTTCTGTCTTAGAAAAAATCTGATTAAGGGGAGCAATGTACAGAGGTACAAGGATGTATGTATCTGTGATGCACCTTCCTCTAGCACAAACTTAGGCTCACAAATGAGCAAGGACAGGATCCTCAGAGCCTCCAACCAGCCTATGGGCTGGACTTTCTGAATGGAAAAGGAGTTAGGGTGCAATTTAATGTTATGGCTGTGTGGAGTTAATAGTTGCTCATAACAAGAAATTACTAGCTTCTTCCCTTCCTCAGCCAATTCTCGGTCTAATCATGTGGCTCCTTCTCAGTTCACTACAGCAAGCAAAAGGTCACTAGGGTAGTTTTCTGCTATTTTACTTAATTATGATTTTTGTATGAACAGATCTGTGTCAGAGCCTGGCCTGAGCTATCTCTTAGAAGTGCAGTCCTAAGCCTGAAACCAAGGTTTACCAGAGAATGTTACACTGACTTCCTAGTTCTGGGATCCAGTTTTTAGGTTAATTGAAACGTGGTGTGAAAATATTTGCATGTGCAACTACATTCTGATAGAAATAGCATCTGAATAAGGAAATAAAAACAATCTCTAATTGGTATATTTCAGTCTGTGAGACAAAAGGACAGGAATTGCTCTTGAAAAGCAATGAATTGTAATGCCTGGAATTCAGGTGCAAATTCAAATTTCATCCATAGAACCAGAAAGCTGCTAGGTTTAATTTTCAGAGTAGAATGTCTCCAGTACAAAGCCAGTACATTAAAACCTCACAGAGACCTTGCCTCTAACTTGATGACCTTTGGAATATGTCAACATAGGAGGTAATCTGGTTAACACTGATTTCAGTTGACTCAGGATTCCTTCTGAGTCTATAGGTATAAAAAAACCACAACCTTAAAGGACTTGAGGAAAGCCACTTCCTAGCCTGTAACTAAAGCACATTTTCAACCAATAAAATCTTGAAACCTGGAAGCCCCAGAGTGTTAGAACAGTGCATCACCTATTCTGGCTAAAACAATTACTGCGCAATAATTAGGCATAAGGGTACTCCCACTTAAGTTAGTCCAGCATGTGTGTTGCATTGCAAGAATGGGGTCATAATATCTGCATTTCATAACAAAAGAAACCCCCTCCTACCACCTTAGATTCCAATATATACACTTACCAAAAGAACTATTAATGTAGTAGGATATTGTTTATTCCTTAATTCCCCAACTACACAGTAAAACTAATGCTGCCCCTCTATTTTGACAAAAAAAGAGGCAGATTTAAAGACCTAGAACTGTGTGTTCTGAGACTGCTCATTGTCAAGCATTTATATTACTACTTGCTATGGAAAAGATAAAGCATTTTAACAGTTTTTTCTAAAGAAGAGGTGGCAAAAGGGGAAGATAAAGGACAGCACTTTTCACAGTGTAGCATGTACCTGAAAAAACCAAGAGGTGCAAGAAGAGGTCAGCACTAACATGAATCCAAATATGTCTTGTAAAGAAATTTAGCTATTTGGAAAGCTACATGGATATAGAACATGTAAAAAACCCAGTAAAAAACAGTCAGAATCATCATGGGTTTGGGGTAGGAGGTTTGAAGAAACCAATCTTCCGGCAGTATCGGACAAGCAGTGGCACAGAAACCAGAGTGATACTGATCCGCACTGGAGCAAACACTTTGTGAACAGCATAGGCCAGCACGAAGGTGCTGGTGCCAGCTGCCAGCTTGGACTGCAACGAGGATTCTGTGAAACCCAGTTTGAGGAGAACTGCAGCCATATCCACACCACTGGGGAAAGAGAAAACAAGATTGCTTTATTTTAAGGTTGCACGCTAAAAAATATGAAGTGTAATTTTTTTTCTGGGAATTTAATGTGATGTACTTCCAACTCTGGAATTTGTTTAAATCTAGATGTTATAAAATACCTCTGTAGCAACAACACATGCAGTATTTTTAGATGCACTTTTTTTCCCTAAATTTACAAGTTTCCTGTGAAGTATGTTGTTAGTTTTCCATCTGTTTTAACTCCAGTATGTGCATGGAGAAGGCTCAGCCTCAAGCTCAACCATTGTAGGTAAAATAACCTATTTCTCTACTTTTGAATTAAAAAAAAAGAGATGGGAATTTGTGCTGGTAATTAATCTTCCCAAAATTTACGATAAAGCCTATTCTGTGTCTTGATGAAATTTATCACACATAGATCAACTCAAACCAAGTAAAGTGCCTGTTGCTAGGCTTAGTGTTCCAACAGAGGAGTACAAAGTTTTTAAAATTGCATGTATCTTGGCTAAAATCAAGCAAGGGAAGGGAGGATTATGGATCTCAAGCATTATCCACCCAATCCAGTAATATTTTAATTCTCTGTAGACATAGCAGCTTTCATCAAGGTGCCTATCTTTGGAGTAATTTTCCAAGAGAAGTTGTTACTGTTAGCTTTCCCCCCTTCACTAGCCAGTATGGTATCTTGTAACTGGGAGTTACAAGTTTTCTGAAGGAAAAAAAATTTCATTGTTGCTCTGTGGTGATGTAGTAAACAAGAGAAATGAGGCATTCCCATATTCCCACGGAAGTCAAGGGTCAATGGCAGGGAATGTTTTGAGAAATGATGTGTTTCCCTGTTTCCTCAGCTGTAATACCTCATGCTCAACAGACCTATCTGTAACTGATGAATTTCCACAGAAGCCACAGGTAAAATCTCCCACCTGACTCTTCTTGTACTGTGATCTACTATTTTCTTTTTTAATCTAATCCTGTTTTAGTGGCCCTCTGCAGTTTCAACTTCAGAAACTTGAGTTCAACACCCAGAAAAATAAATTTATCTCTAAAGTCCAGAACTTGTGTGGCTCTATCTGTGCAGACCATACTGCTGTTTGAGAACAAAAGATATCTCTGCAGAACAAAAATAAATGCTCATCTAGTTAGTTACTTTGTTGCAATTCCTACTCTGCTCTTTTCACCTTCCCCCCATTGACTGTGAACCTATGCAAACGGACCATCTACATCTATCTCCTTTCATGCCTGATGGGAGATGAGATCCATTGATGGATCTATCTATACTAAAAATTCAGAAGATCACTGTGTATAGATCAAACAGGCACAGAGTACACGTCTCCTTCCAGAAAAAAAGCATAATGATAAAATTTTTTTTCTTTGTTAAATCATTACCTAAGGCTACTGAAAACAGTACAAACCTCACCTTGACACAGCCAGGTAGAAGATTCCTAGGGATATTAATGAAATTCCAACATGGAATGAAACCCCTACAGCACCATATTCTTTAAAAACTTGTTTCAGCTGCTGGGATTTGTTGAGTTTCTTGTTTTCACCACTGGGATCCGTAGCTGCCTTGTCAGGGGATAGACCTGCATCCTAAAATGAAAACAAGAGCATTTTTAGCATTAAGCACAATATCATATTCCAGTCAGTTGAACCAATCTGAAATAATGAAAGAAGCTGCTTGCACACAGTGCTGTTCAGAATGCTTTGGGAAAGACAGTAACACACTTTTGCCCCTTCTCACCAGGACAGCAGATGCCTGTGCAAGATCCCTTTTTCCAACTATTCATATCAAAGGGATGCACTGAGCTGGGTCCAAGTTCTTACACAATGCAAGTTGCATAATTAAAGAGTTACTACAGTCCCAGTCTTCCATTTGATCCAAACATGTGCCAAGGCACACCCACACAGTTAGTTGACAGATGAGACTGAGGTGCCAAAGAGATCTCAGCTTACAGCCACTGCTCATCTTTATGCAGAAAATCCTTATAACACAGTTTTTGGTTCAAGGGCTAAGCGGCTGATGGCACTGGAAGCCTACATGATGCCACACAGATGCTGGTTTACTAACAACTTACTGACAAAAGAGGTCCAACATCCAAGTTCCTATAAATCAGCTGAAAAAAGGAAGAACCCTGGAACTGCTACTGTTGACAGCAACCAGCAATACTGTTGCCACACTGTAGACAGTAGCTACCCAGACATGCCAGTGCTGGTGTAAACAGCCTAACTTCACTGAAAATGTTTGTGTAAAATTTATTGACAGCTTCTTATCCAGATAAAGTGTGTACTAAAATATACCCCAAAACAATCTGATAGTGCAGGGCAGGCGAAGAAGAGCATATACCCTGCTAGTACTATGTCAGCACTTGGATATTCCTCACACTCACCATAGAAGAAAAACTAATTGGAGGAAGAAAACATTCCCACAAAGACAAAAAAAACAAAAGGATTTTTCTTTTATTAGTGAGCAGTCATCAGGAAAGATGAGTAGAGTCCTTTCTTTTCAGCTGCATTCAGCAGCAGTCATGAAAAATGACAGCCAGATGAAAGGCTGCTCTGCCCACAGGACAGGTACAGCTAATGAGAGCCTGGCACCACTCTGTCCTGCTGCAGATTGGTATCCAGGCACATAAATTAGAAGAAAAATACTTTTGATTAATCCTTAGGCTTGGCGAAATGGTAAATTATTATACAAGACAGGCTTTTCTTTTAACAGCCATGGTAGGATGAACTCACTTTAATCAGTGATTTTAACTACACCAACCATACTAACCCCCAAATAACCATCTGCTGCTGTTTTTATCTTTTTTAACTGTAATTTATGTTACTTCAATTTTGACAGGAAATCATGCTGATCCATAAAGATGTATTTTAGGGAATTGTGTAGCTCTACATACTTCTGACTCTCATCTTTTAGAATTTTCAAGCATAATGGATATTAGGTATTTTTTTGTGTGTCTTACGAGCCAAAGCAATATTTGAATAGAAACTGAAACCTGACTAAGAAAGCAAAACACCCAGTAGAAAAATAAATCCTTTATTGCTTAAACCAAGCAGTTTTCATACTAGAAGGTAAATGAGGAAAAAATATTCCAATCTGTATTTTATTAAGCAAAATAATGGATCCATAGTTAGCTAATCTAATTACCTGCAGCCACTAGAAGTAATTAGATTCCATTCGTGGCTGTACTACATGGCTGCTACCTCACCCTCTTTCAGAACTCATTCTGTTACTCATCAGTTTTATTACAGAAAGTTGTGGGGGGAAGAAAGAAGGCCCTTTTAACTCCCAGTCTGTAAAATTTAAATACTGAGTTACTGAATGGAACTAGTTGAACAAACTGAATAAAACAGTCTCATAATACCTTCTGCCAAAAGCTGTCCTAACAATTAAATCAACTTTACATGCTTAGTCAAGAATACTTATTTATTCAAAAGTGTGATTTTCTTAAAAGCCAAGTGTGGTTTGAATGGTATTTTAAGATTTAACAGATTATAGTGAATTTTTCATCAAAACAAAAATGATCATTATCTATTTGAGGAATCAAATGTGATGATTTTCTTCAGACAGCTACCATGAAAACAGGAGCTGACAATCTACAGAGATACATAAGCCTTCGAGGAACCCTGGGTCTTACAGCCACACTTGCTAGATGGATCATAAGGACTGAAAATTGGCTTGATCTCATCAATCAAGTACATTTCAATTCACTCATGCTCTCAGGCTGACATGCCAGGCAATTTCTGAATGGTATCAAAACAAGATGTTATCAAAGGACCACTTCAACAGATACTATTTGCACTACCCAGTACTGTCACATCCTGAATAACTTACACCTCAGCAAAGAAAGCTACTTATTTTCCATGTGATTCTGCTTAAAAACAAAGTTTATTCCAATTGTTTAGACAAAGACTCAGCTCCTGGGCAAACTAAGGCATGAAAACAAACCTGAAACATCATGTTATGCTTTGTAATGAGGCTACAGAAATTAACCTGGAAATGAAGCTGTAGAAATTGAACTGTAAATGATGCTTTGTGTGGAAAGCTCACATTCACAACTTTGGCACAGTCAGGAGTGTCCTACATAAGCTCACATAAACACGATCTAATCATCTATTGCAGCATTAAAAAAATGAGGTGTAAGGCCTTTGTTTGCTTTTCCCCCTTAGCCAATCCAAATTTAAAACCAAACCAGTGAATGGTACAAATTCACAGAAACGTGTCCTTGCCATCTCAAAAAAATAAAACAAAATTAACCAAATGTTGGAAGCCCAGGGCAACACATCATTCACGGTGGAATTTAACCTCTCAGCAGCCGACAAGGCGCAGGGAAGGGACAGGACCTCTCTGCAGCCATTCCCAGGGACCGAAGCTCTTAAAAAAAACCCTATCGGTGTCTGTGTGAGTTACTGAAAACCCCCTTTTTAACTCTTCACTGCTCCCCTGAGGTGCTCAGAACCTGCACAGCCCAGGGAGAACACCCGTCCCCGGCAGCTGGAAAACCCTGCCAGGCCGGGACAATTTGTGCTTTAATCTAAATTACCCTCCGCTCAGGGAAGGTTTTACGTGGGATATCAGAAGAAACTTCTTCACTGAAAGGCTCCTCCAGGGCTCTGATGGGGGCTGAACC